TGTCCAATAGCCTGGCCGGGGCAATAATTTCTACAAGACGGCTGGGCATACAGAAATCCCTAATGCATAGGCACTGCATATATGCAGAAGGGCTTTCCTGGAGTTTTTCAGCGTGGCTGGTCGCACATTGCATGTGTGTCAAAGTGGATCTAGACACATGCAGAAAGTTTGTACATCCAGAACTTGTCACATCGTGTGTGAGCGAGTGCTGGTCGTGAGTTCATCCTGGATGCTCTGGCCTCGCTTTGCAGGCACTCCCTGCTGCCAGCATACACTTTTATTTCTGGGAAATCCCAGGCAGAAATACAGAAGCCCTAGGTACACTTGCCTGCTTATTGCCATTGTGTTTTACCTTGCAGTGATCCCTGATGCCATATATTCAAAGGGTCCGATGCTCTGTTGGATTATGCAGCGTCACTGAAGAGACTCCTCTCTGGGCAGGCCAAACTGCCTACGACCTTAGGTTGTGCTTATTCAGCCCATGGGTGTCTTTGGCCTCCAGCTCACAAGCTTGTTACCTGGTTTAACAAGTTACCACCTGTCAACCGAAGCAATTAGTCCATAGCAGATGGGAAAAAGCGGCATATCCCTCATCCATCTCGGTGCCCAGCCACACAAGGGCTGACAGCAGCACCAGGGAAAGTGCCTGGACGTCTCCTTTGGCAGCAGGGCACGTTTTGATCAGCTTGAGCCCCCTGAAAAAAATCATACCTTTTGTATCACTAGCTTCAGCAGCGACTACATGCTACCTAGCCTTTAGTGGTACTTTTAGTGAAACCAAAAGATTGCGGACCTGGTAAAATGGAAGAAATCTGAAAACCAGACAGCTTGGAATTGGGACATGTACACTTTATTTCCACTTAAAGTAAATGTGGGATTTCACTGCCCCTGCAGCACTTTCAAGAAAGTTAGAAACTACTGAAACCAGAATATAAAGAAATTGTCTTAGCACGTAGAAGCCCAAAATTCTGAGAAATCTCTGTGTCCACATGCATATCTGACTCACAGTAATGTTAAAATTAAGACCGTACCTTTTGGTTGTTTTCAAGGTATTGAAATTAACCTGGAATGTTGTTATCTGTACAGCTGATCATTCAAATTCCATTTAAGCCTAGTAGTGAAGGTTTGGGATTTTAGCTGTATATAAATCTCATGCCCTGTGCATTGCATAAAGCTAAACTTCACCTATTCAGGAAACAAAGGGTTTTAATTTACAAAAAAAAAACAGTAAAGCAAGGTTTACCAAAAATCTGTTTTGGGTAAAAATTATCTAAAGTCAGCATTTTTACTAATGCAATGCCTTTAACATCAGGGAAGTTACACTAATGCAGAATTTGGCCCTGATGTTTTTGTATAAATATATTATCTATGGATTTGATGCATGCTTATTTAGACATTATTCATTGAGATGTATGGAGAGGAAGAGCAAGATCTCTCAATGAGAGCAGGCAGCGCTGTAAGCATGTGCGTGCTTCTCAGCGCTGGAAGCTAAGGCATAGCACTGTATGTGCGGGACAGTTGGGATAGCAAGAGACTGCCAGGGGAAAGAGAAAACTACGGCTCTAATCCCTCTGCCTAAACAGGGGAAAGGCAAAAACCTCGCCAGTCGCAACCAAAGCAAGCTCACGAGAAAAAAACTGGCTGACATGAGTAAAACCTTTCCATTTTTGTTAGTAACACCGCTAAAGTCCCATACCCCGTTCCTGCACGGTCCCAGCCTTCATGCAAGACCTCCTGAGCCCATGTGTGTTTGGCATGAGGAGGCCAGGACACAAACCTTCTCACTTGAAGCTTCGTCTTCCTCTAGTTGACTGTGCCAGCGTAAGGCATCGGGCTGGAATTGAGAACAGATTGCAGCTTGGTCCTGCCGCAAACGTTTGGTTCAGTTCTCTATGCCTCAGTTTCCCCATAAATTTATAAAATGAGGATAGCTACACTTCCTTTTTCCTGCAGGACAGTGATTTGTAGCTCTGGGGCCCACACTCCTGCGGTGTGAAGGTGGGGAACCATGCGCTGCCCCAGTGGGGTCCTCAAAAAGGCAAGCGAGCCTGTCGTCATGAGGCTGAGCTCTGGTATCCTAGGTTGTGCCTTCCCAGGGATCTGCAAAGTGAAAAGCCGGATTTGAAGACAACCACGCTGCTGCAGGAACTGGCATCCCTGTGTGCCCTCACCTTGCTCAGCTGGGCTTCATTGCTGCAAGAGTTACCATGCCCTCTGGATGCGAACTCTTATTTACGCTTAAAACACATTGCTACTGATAATAACTAGCAATAACCAATAACTAGTAATGACACTGAGCCGGGGGAACCCCCCTGAAACAACACTTTCCAGCATGCTGTCTTGCTGGAAATCACCTCATCAAGCTTCAGCAACTAGGCAGGCAAAGAGCAGGAGTGATGTGAGGCATGGGGCTTGCACATCTCCAGGGATTGCACATGTCTAGAGGTTTGCACACCTCCAGGGATGTGCACAGCTCTAGGGTCTGGCACACGTCCAGGGGCTTGCACATCTCTAGGGACTTGCATTTGTCTTAGGGGCTTGAATATCTCCACTGATGTGCACACCTCCAGGAGCTTGCACATCTCCAAGAACTTGGACGTTTCCAGGGACTTGCACACCTCCAGGGGCTTGGCAGGCACTTCCAGGGGCTTGCACACCTCCCACAGCCTGCACATCTCTAGCAGTGCACACACCTCCAGGGGTTTGGAGGACACCTCCAGGGGCTTGCACACCTCCAGGGGCTTGGAGAACACCTCCAGGGGCTTGCACACCTCCAGGGGCTTGGAGGACACCTTCAGGGGCTTGCACACCTCCAACAGCGTGCACACCTCTAGCAGTGCGCACACCTCCGGGGCTTGGAGGACACCTCCAGGGGCTTGCACACCTCCAACAGCGTGCACACCTCCAGGGGCTTGGAGAACACCTCCAGGGGCTTGGAGGACACCTTCAGGGGCTTGCACACCTCCAACAGCGTGCACACCTCCAGGGGCTTGGAGAACACCTCCAGGGGCTTGCACACCTCCAACAGCGTGCACACCTCCAGGGGCTTGGAGAACACCTCCAGGGGCTTGCACACCTCCAACAGCGTGCACACCTCCAGGGGCTTGGAGAACACCTCCAGGGGCTTGCACACCTCCAACAGCGTGCACACCTCCAGGGGCTTGGAGAACACCTCCAGGGGCTTGCACACCTCCAACAGCGTGCACACCTCCAGGGGCTTGGAGAACACCTCCAGGGGCTTGCACACCTCCAACAGCGTGCACACCTCCAGGGGCTTGGAGAACACCTCCAGGGGCTTGCACACCTCCAACAGCGTGCACACCTCCAGGGGCTTGGAGAACACCTCCAGGGGCTTGCACACCTCCAACAGCGTGCACACCTCCAGGGGCTTGGAGAACACCTCCAGGGGCTTGCACACCTCCAACAGCGTGCACACCTCCAGGGGCTTGGAGAACACCTCCAGGGGCTTGCACACCTCCAACAGCGTGCACACCTCCAGGGGCTTGGAGAACACCTCCAGGGGCTTGCACACCTCCAACAGCGTGCACACCTCCAGGGGCTTGGAGAACACCTCCAGGGGCTTGCACACCTCCAACAGCGTGCACACCTCCAGGGGCTTGGAGAACACCTCCAGGGGCTTGCACACCTCCAACAGCGTGCACACCTCCAGGGGCTTGGAGAACACCTCCAGGGGCTTGCACACCTCCAACAGCGTGCACACCTCCAGGGGCTTGGAGAACACCTCCAGGGGCTTGCACACCTCCAACAGCGTGCACACCTCCAGGGGCTTGGAGAACACCTCCAGGGGCTTGCACACCTCCAACAGCGTGCACACCTCCAGGGGCTTGGAGAACACCTCCAGGGGCTTGCACACCTCCAACAGCGTGCACACCTCCAGGGGCTTGGAGAACACCTCCAGGGGCTTGCACACCTCCAACAGCGTGCACACCTCCAGGGGCTTGGAGAACACCTCCAGGGGCTTGCACACCTCCAACAGCGTGCACACCTCCAGGGGCTTGGAGAACACCTCCAGGGGCTTGCACACCTCCAACAGCGTGCACACCTCCAGGGGCTTGGAGAACACCTCCAGGGGCTTGCACACCTCCAACAGCGTGCACACCTCCAGGGGCTTGGAGAACACCTCCAGGGGCTTGCACACCTCCAACAGCGTGCACACCTCCAGGGGCTTGGAGAACACCTCCAGGGGCTTGCACACCTCCAACAGCGTGCACACCTCCAGGGGCTTGGAGAACACCTCCAGGGGCTTGCACACCTCCAACAGCGTGCACACCTCCAGGGGCTTGGAGAACACCTCCAGGGGCTTGCACACCTCCAACAGCGTGCACACCTCCAGGGGCTTGGAGAACACCTCCAGGGGCTTGCACACCTCCAACAGCGTTTTTAATTTCTTAGACATGCCGGGCCCTCGGAGCAGTTTGCGGTTAGCTTTATGGCTCTGGCCATGAAATCGATGGACACAGGAGCTAGTCCGAGCAGGTTTAAAAATTTTGCAGGAAACAAGGTGGTGGTGGGGGGGAAACCTAAAGAGATTAGTCCTAAACTAGAAGGAGCTGTAGCAATATATGTGGGAAACGAGTGGCAGGGTAAGCTGGGGGTGGTTTTGGTTGAGCTGGACTTAGTGCTTCGAAGCACCCACCCGAAACAGCGGGCTGGGAAATACCTCTATATGTTTCAGCAAGCTCCCAAGACTTAACATTGTGTTTGTTATTCTGAGAGAGAGAGCATGCCTTCTCTCTCTCTCACCGCTTCTAAGCTAGTGATTAGATGGACAGGTTTTAAGCAGAACAGCATGTTTCTGGCAGAAAGGACATCAGAGCAACCCAGGGAGCTCTTAAAAGTTGCAGGCCATCGTTGCTGTGTGCTGTTAAACAGCTGCCGAATTTCACTGCTGAAGTGACTGCTTTTCAGTGGCTCAGGAACTGCCCTCCGTGCTTGGGTTGTCACGTTTCGAATACGCTTTCAGGGCTCCTAGGGATGAAATGCTCTCTGTAAACGGCATAATTGGTTTTAACAGCTTGCCTATCCCTGGCCTTTTTGTTTTTGAAGCTTCTGGTTTTGGCTGTATCTTCAGGCAAAGTAAGGATGAAAGCCTTTTAGTTGTTAGTCTGGCCTTTAGGATAAAATATAGCCTGGGCTCGATCCTGCATTCCTTGCATTCCCCGCAATCTTCCCGGCTGCTGTGCAAGTTTTGAGAGTGCACAGAAAGCAGATCTGGCCGTAATGTGCCTGGATCTATTTGCCTCTGATGGTCCCCTGTCTTAAAATGACTCCAGTTACACCAAGTGACATCGATTCTTGTCAAAAGAGATGGGAGAAATAAGAGCGCTGGTTGTTTTCCGCTGAGCAATGTTGCACGTAGCAGTTGCCAATTCCCCCCCCCCCCCCCCCCCCACCACTTCTTTCGC